GGGGGATCTAGCAGTTGGTTCGATTACACTGAACTGTTTCTGTTTGTGAAGTGTGATACTGGAGGAAAACATGTGAGTGTAATGTTCCTTGGCCAAAAAGGAAAGCAGATTGACAGCTGTTTTCCCAGGAGCAAATAAAGAGAAGGGCATCCTGACAGCTATTTGCTTAAAAACCAAGAAATGGGTGATGGAGTCTAGTGTGTTACTTGAAATTTATGCATTATTCTTTCAGGAATTGGGGTTTATAGAGAGTTTCATAATAAGAAAGTATTATGGTTGATCATTCAGATTGTTAGTCTATTCGAGGATCAAAAATCTAATTTTCAGTATTAAGCGTCACCCAAAATCAAGGATTGAGGTTTGTTTTGAATCTGATACAATAAAGGGTGGAGCAAGCTGTCTAATACTGTACATATTTTTGCATGTTCCAGAGACACTATCTGGTTATTTAGTGGCACTTAGAATGTTCAAGGAATATTATGTTTGAGAAACTAGTTTGTTTAGTGCTTGAAAAAGATGTCTCCTCAAATATCATTCTCTACTTATGTTTACCTTGGCTTCTGCAACTGCATGTTACCACCCTTTTATGCTTCTTATATTTTATCATAAATGATATTCTTGCTTCAGTTTTACTCAATGAAGCACAATCTAAATGAACCCATTTTTGAAAAGCAAAAAATTCCACTGAGGAACAAAATTAAACTAAAACTAATCCCTATGTCCTGTAAGTTGAGTTGTAATACAATTATGCTTCATATTTATATTTCATTTGTGATTCTTATACTTGTGCATGGTTGAAAATACTCGCATGAGAAGATAGAGTGCTCTCTTTTGTAGCTCAAGCGAATAAGTACATACTAAAAATCTTTTTAATATTCCAACTCAGCAGATCTCCTTCTCATCTACTAAATCGGTGTTACATTATCAATATATATCAATCTCCTAATCTATTACAATTTATATATTATATGCTATTTTTGGTTTCCTGTTCAAGTCACCTTCACTTGTACTTAGGATCTTTCTTCAATTTTACATAGCATAATATCCATTATACTATGATTTTTTTATTCTTGTAGGCCAGCATCCCTCTGCATTATTTTCAGAAATTATATATTAGCATCTTTACAGGTTTGCCCTTCTGCATGCCTGTAGCAGAAGTTGCGGCATGAAATCCTGTTATGAGGATATGATTCTCAAGTGGTTATATTACTTCATCTCAGGAAAAGTTACGGCTTTTGAATTTACCATAATTTAACTGATGTATAATTGTATCGTGTGAATAACCTTTGAATTATATAATTATGAATTATAAGGCTTGTGGCAGCTAATCAGCATGAAACCTTTGTACTCAGAAAGAAAAAAGGCTAGCTCTGAGAGATCAGCTTGCTTATGTCACGCCTTTATTGGAAGATTTGAAAGTAGAGAAGGATGAACGAATCAAACAATTTGCAGATGTAGGGTCAAAGATTGAAAAGATTGAAAAGGAGATTTTTGGATACAGTCATCAGAGTGAATCACTGACTAGTTCTTCATCTGTGGATGAACATGATCTTTCAATAAGGAAGCTGAACGAATACCAAGCTCAACTTCGCAATCTCCAAAAGGAGAAGGTATGTATTTTGACCTTATTATTTACCAATGCCATCTTTAACTAGAGTTTGACAAATGCATGCCAAGGCTCTTCTTGGTACTTCAGCAGCCTATGGTGTTATACATTGACATGTTCTGTACTTTGCATGAATGCTATAAGCTTGGCACGATTATGATAAAATAAATGACGATAACTATAAAAGATAAAAATGAATTCTATAACTAAATGGATTTTAGAAGTAAATTAATGTCTTACTTTCGTACTTCCAGTCCGAACGTCTTCACCGTGTTCTTGAGTATGTAAACGAGGTCCGTTCTTTATGCGGCATACTTGGAGAGGATTTTGTAAGAACTGTGGATGAGGTACATCCAAGTCTACATGATCCAAGTCCAGCAAAGTCTACAAACATCAGCGACAGCACTTTGGAAGGACTAGCCAGAACCATCCAAAAGTTTAAAACTGAGAAGAAGATTAGAACTCAGAAGGTAAGTTGTGTACTATTCAGAATCATATCTTGCTTAACCCTGTCATATATCCCTGATGTATCCAATTTTTATAGTTGCAAGAAACAGCCAAGAAACTATTAGAATTATGGAACTTGATGGATTCATCTCAAGAAGAGAGGAGTCAATTTGAGAGAGTGGTCAAAACCTTAGGAGCATCAAATGTCACACAGTCTGGTATTCTAGCACTGGAAACAATTGAAAAGGTTTGGTAATTGCAGCCTAATTAACTTCTGGTAGTTCCTTAAATGACAGATAGTGAGATGCCTATTTTGCATTTTTTACAGACAGAAGCCGAGGTTGAGAGACTGAGGAAACTCAAAGCCAGCAGAATGAAAGAACTTGTAATGAAGAGGAGGATGGAATTGGAAGAAATATGCAGGGAAGCACATATTGAACCTGATACGAGCACTGCACAAGAGAAGTCATGTGCGATGATAGATTCTGGTAGGTAGTTCTTTCTCCTTGACATCTGAATATTGAAAGTAATTGATCTGACATTTTTTGGCTATCTTTTGTATATAGGACTCGTGGATCCATCCGAACTTGTGACCAATATTGAGGCGCAGATAGTGAAAGCGAAAGAAGAATTCAGGACAAGGAAAGACATAATGGATAGGATAAACAAATGGCAAGTGGCTTGTGCAGAAGAAATGTGGCTAGAAGAGTATAACCAAGTAGGTTATTTTGTTCTTGCCATTATATTTTTGCACTAAAGAATGCAACATGGGATTTTTCATATTGACTTAATTCTTACATTAGTATACACATAAAGCTCACAACATTACAACTTTTTTTGTCCCTGCGCTATTCTCTATACTCAGGTAAGAAACCATATTTGTCCGTGTCATGTGACACAAACACAAAGCTTCCACAGTTCCCAGTTCATCTGAATATGGTTAGCAGCGTAAGATGTACGCAAGAAACAGCTAAACTACTTTTAGTAACCCACACTTCCGTGGTTATGATGCTAGTGAGAAACACATGAAGCAAAACCTTTCTGCTGAGAGTTTCTTTAAGCAGTTGATACAAATATGAACAACAGTTTGGTTTCTAAATTGAAATTAGATCATGAATATTCGATATATACATATCCTACCATTAATTTATGCAAAAAGTTGATTGTTCAATTATCATGGTCGAAGTAGTGTTGAGCTATGCTAATCTTTTGAATGTGTGTTATTTCTTTAAACCTCGCATGTTACATGCTTATAATAATTATTATTATTTCCAAAACTAAATTCTTGCATCTTTTGATCTGCAGGATGACAGCAGGTATAATGCAGGAAGAGGTTCCCACTTAAACCTGAAGCGAGCCGAGAAGGCTCGAGTAACTGTCAGCAAAATTCCAGGTGTTTAATTCAGTTCCCTTCTATCTTCCAGCAATATAAACATTTTTAGTGAAAATATGTGAGGTCTAATTGTGTATTGAACTTGGTTTTAGCTATTGTTGAAACCCTCATTAGTAGAACTTGTGCCTGGGAAGATGAGAGAAATATGCCTTTCCTCTATGACGGGGTGAGTCCTTTGTTCTCTCCTGATGGATTTTTGAGTGGTTTCTTTAATTTCTTATTATTTTATTAAACTTTGTGTATCCTTTTCGCTAACCAGGTCCGCTTAGTTTCTATTTTGGAAGAGTATAGACTTACTAGACTACAAAAGGAAGAAGAGAAAAGACGAGAAAGGGTGAGCTTCTCTTTCGAATCCTCCTACTGTTTTCCCCCCTGATTCCTTAAGACCTAATTAGCTTTCAATTTCTTTGCCTTATTACAGGATCATAAGAAGCTCCAAAATCTAATCCTCACAGAAAAGGAATTAAAGTATGGATCCAAACCTACCCCAAAAAGGAGTACTAGTTTCAATAGAAAAGCAAATGTGCATTACGCAAATGGAAATGGATTCATGACTCCCTCACCTCGAAGAGTTAGCGTTGGTGGTGGAACCCCTGAGCTCCTAACTCCACGATCCTGCTCTGGTCGTCAAAATAGCTATTTTAGGGAAAACAGACGGCTGACTATTGCGCCTCTGAACTTTGTTGCAATATCTAAAGAGGATACTTTGTCTACATTCACATCTGTCAGTGGCTCCGAACGTAGTTCTCCACCTCATTGCTAGATGCAGATTGTAGATGGTAATTTTCCTTGAAAAACAGATAGAATATATGTCCTTAAAATTCATTTTGGTTTAAAAAAAGTAAATGATCGTGCAAACCGATCGTAAACTCATTTTCAATCAGTTTTTCATCAATATATTTATTTCATTATTTTACTGAATGAAAAACAAGATTTATTGCACTAACAAGTTTCTGATTACATGTTGCAGGAGGATATTGGTGTTAAAAAGCTAGAGAAATAGGACTTGAGCTAAATAGACGTGCATTCATGTAATTGTGGCTGTGCACGAGTTCTCTAAAATGTGGATTGAAAATCGTTAGTCCTTTATAGATTGAATTGAGTGTTCTATGTAGATCGAATTGTAGCAGCAACGTAGAAAAGAATGTATGATATTGATTGCGGATGTCGAGAGTAATTTGCTGGCACAAGTTTAATTTTTGGCCTTTGTTGTACATATGTGCTCTATGCAGATTTCCAGTTTGTAATCAGCTAATCATAGCTAGTACTTTTTAGCATTTTCCTTCCTTTCTTTTTTTTCCCCTTATTTATTTATTTGTTTTTATACAAGAATGTTGGTGTAGCTGAGCTTTTATTGAACACACGTCTTATATAGAGTTGCCCGGATTATGTAGAGTTGATGAGTGTTGAGCAAAAGCGCTGATAACAGAAAATTTGAGTTAAAGAATTGGACATAGTTATCAATCGCGTTATCTTTGTAGATTGTTCTAATACGGTGTGTAGGCATGTACATCATATAAGCCGGGAGTTGAAACAAGTCCTTGATGCTTATTCGTATTTAATAACACTCAAAGAACTAGGATTTGGAATAGAATTAGTATCCTTAGCAGAAATATTTTCTTGTTATTTTCAAGAGGAGAGAGGGGCGAAGTTCTAAGCCTTTGGATAACTACGATCTAGAAGGCATTTCAAAAACATGAAAGATTTTAACAGGGCAGGTGCGTGGAAATTTAGTAAAACTAAATCGATGTGTAACTTCAAATTTCCCGTGGTAACGTTTTAATTAAAGTGGTGTATTCTCACAAATAGAATTATAGGGGTTCGTTCACAATTAGGTAATGCTGCAAAGGTCTATTTGCAATTAACCCACAAAGCAATTGAAATATAATTTTTAGTCTCATTAGATTCCCTCCGATTAGCTGATAATATTAGAGTGTCCAATTTCTTCAATTATATTGCATATTTGGAATTCAAATGATGAGATTACAGTAAATTTTTTAAACAAAATAGCAAATTTTAAAAAATATTAATTTTTTAAAATATTAATTTTAAAAAATAGCAATTTTTTAAAAAATATTTCAAATTCAATAGATGAAATATTAATTTTAAAACTACAGTGGCTCTATCTGGTAGGGCTGAGCATGATTCGGTCCAAACCGAAAAAACCGACCGAACCGATCCGAACCGACCCGAAAAAAACAGTTTTATGAGTAGGACAGTTCGGGTCGGTTTGAAAACTTTTCAACCCGAACCGACCCGAACCGACCGAATATAGTGCAATACTACCCATTCTGATCAAACCCTATCCGTAACCCGACTCATCCCCAAAGAGTCAAAGACATAAACTCTAAACTCATTTTCTGAATCATTATGGGTTAAAAATAATATCATTATATCAGTGTTTAATGCTTCATAATCTCCTACTTTGTTGATATTTTTTTTCTTTAACACAGATTGTTGTTTGATAAGAAGTTTGATGAAGCTAGAACCAAACAAAACGAACCGAACCGCACCGAACTGACTTACAATAGTTCGGTTCGGTTTTGAATTATAGACGGTTCGGTTCGGTTGTTTACTTTTTGGTAAAAAACAAACCGAACCGACCGTTGCACACCCCTACTATCTCGTAGATTAAATGGTCCGAAAACTAGGGTTTTCTCTAATTGATTGCAAAATTTTAGATTTTAATTGATGTTCTAACAAATTTTAATGTCAGCTTTCATCACTTTCAATTGTTTGTTTGTAGTTGTAAAAATAGTGTAAAGTGATTTCATATGCTGACGTGGCTTGTAAAGTGATTTCATAAAAAAATACACGATTTTAGGAGAAAGCTGACATTGAAGTCAGGAAAAAATAATAATAAATAATTCCAACCAATATGATCATTTGAGTAGGGGTCACTTTTTACACTTTCCAAACAAACAATTAAAGTTACATTTGCAAACCAAACAAGCAATTTATGATTCCAATAGAATCAAAAACAAACAAAAAAATTATAAAAGTAAAATTGATGAGGTGGACAACAACTTTCCAAATTGTATCATAAATAAATAGGACAAATTTTCAAAACCAACCTATTTGAACTTTTATTCCCAAAAAAAGACCCGTTTCACATTTATTTAGAGAAACCGACCTGGTTTCAGCCTCAGCGCTGAAACCAGGTCGGTTTTTGAAAAAAACTCTCCGAAACTTCACGGGAGTTGAACTCCCGTGAAGTTTCGTAGTTCAAAAAACTTCACGGGAGTTCAACTCCCGTGAAGTTTCGGAGAGTTTTTTTCAAAAACCGACCTGATTTTAGCACTGAGGCTGAAACCAGGTCGGTTTTTGCAATTATTTTTGAATGGGGTCGTTTTTAGGGAATAAAAGTCCAAATAGGTTGGTTTAGAAAATTTATCCTAAATAAATAACTTTACTAACAACAATCAAACAGCCCCTAAAAGAAGAAAAATTCCTCAATGACCCAAAATATGGGACCAATAGAGGGGACAAGTGAGGTGTCTCCCTCCTATGAACTACGAAACTTCACGGGAGTTCAACTCCCGTGAAGTTTCGGAGAGTTTTTTTCAAAAACCGACCTGATTTTAGCACTGAGGCTGAAACCAGGTCGGTTTTTGCAATTATTTTTGAATGGGGTCGTTTTTAGGGAATAAAAGTCCAAATAGGTTGGTTTAGAAAATTTATCCTAAATAAATAACTTTACTAACAACAATCAAACAGCCCCTAAAAGAAGAAAAATTCCTCAATGACCCAAAATATGGGACCAATAGAGGGGACAAGTGAGGTGTCTCCCTCCTATTGGATAA